AAAAACTCGGTTTTCTCGAAATGAGTAACCGGTACAGAAAAACCGATTTCATTTTTGAAATTAGAGGGGCATAATACTTCTAGGTGTGAAGTTTCAGCCAATTCTGACCACTCCTTCTATTTTTGTCCATCATTTGTATGGAGTCGCGGCACTGTGGGTCGTTTCAAAGTTGCCCTTAAATACTAAATAACAATTTGGGTCAAAATGACCCAGAAACACTGTGGGTGTATGGGTAAACTATATTGCCTTCTAGCAAACAAAATAAAATAAAAAACTCTTGTATTTTTTGCAAAAGCATAGCTGATTATGCTTTTAACGAATAGACAGCGCCGCAGCTTATTTAAAATTACCTAACTCTGTAATTAAAAAATTTGTTCATGTAAAACCATCGCAGGAGAGTTAAATCTGTAAAAATGTTTCTAAATATATACTATTTCAAAAGATTTTTATTCTCTAACTTTTTCTATTCATAGATATGAAGATATGTACAACAATCCAAATAAGGCGACAAATCAGGAACATCGAGATCTTGTGCTCGACATACTCTCCGATGCACGTGTTGTTGGTCCACTAATGCAAACCGGGCTATTTCATGCAGATGTGAATCGTCGCAATTATATGTATGTGTTTGGACATAATAGCGCCACCGGACCACATGCCAGCGTGAGTACATTGAAACTTAAACCTAAGTCTTTAAGCCAAATTTGATGAGGTATGACGAAAATTTTTGTTCCAAAATATATCACTCACACTTTTAGGCTTATTCTCTTCTCTTGCTCTGTAATTATCTGAAAACAATTCATGAAATTTGTTTTCCACGTGCTTGCATAACTCACAGCTGGTAGCATTAAAAAATCCGATATACTCGTAAACTAAATACCACCTGCGGTTGTTTAGCACAAATGTTAAGCTTTCTTGTAAGATGCGGAAGAAATTACTCGATTGTTTTGCTTAGCTAAGCTTACACAGATAAACTTTGCATAATTTTCTAATTTACTGATAAGAAGAAGAAAGGGATTCTACTTCGCGCTAGACAAGAAAACTAAGCACTTTCTTTCAAAATAGGATATACATACATACACAAATATATATGTAGATGTCGAAAATGTCTTTTAGATACATATCGACTCTTTAATATTTTATGTATCAGATATCAGAAGGACACATAAAGTTTTATTTCATTACATTAGCAATTCAGTTGACATCCGTACTAATTTATATGTAATGGCAGTTAGAACGCGAAATTGCTAACTTTTCTTCAAACTAGCATTTCCCTTTTAGGACTGTACGCCATTTTTCATGTATTATTTCGCTGGTACTTTATTTTGCCATGCCATTGAATGTGTCGCCATGAATTTTGCACAAATACTCGTAATTCGCTATGTCATTTAATTTACTCTTGGAAATCAATAAAAACGATACTTGAGAGAAAGTATTGTAGATGATATTCATTGGGAAAATATAGCAAGGCACACACACACACAGACACCTATGCATACCCGCGCACTCAAACATGGCCAATTGTGCAATCAACTATTTAATGCATGTATTTGTGTTTGTACTTGCCACCCTGCAGGGAAACCCCGAACTGGTGAACCAAATTTGTAGTTCCGTACTAGATCTTTATCGCCAAAAATGAACTAGTCCGATAGGAACTAAATCCCCACCAGTCCAAAATCGGCGAAAAGTGGTACTTTTAAAAAACTAATTTTTTCAGTTTTTTTCACTAGACATCTATATCTAAAGTGACGAATTTAGGAATGGTTCGGAACTATAGAAAACGGGATGCAGAACGAACTAGATCTTATTTGTCGAATTTAGAACTAATTCGGAACTATCGAATAAGGGATGCAGCGGGGGGCTTGTTTACTTTACATAGATATGTGTTCGGCGGCTTTTTCGTTCAAATACGCTTCTATTCTGCACTTCGCAGATGCTTTTTCATAGCTTGGTAATACAAAACTAAAATTTGTGTTAACATTTCAACATCTTGGGACCGTCTGGAATCTAAGAAATAACAGCGAGCACCTCTGAAAACTCAGCTACAGCTAAAGGTATGTAAACGTACATTTCTTACAATCATTCAAACAAATTTAATTTCAAATTGAAAACACATTTCTTCCAAAATAACTTAAAATCGCACACACGGAAGATCCAAAAAGATTGAAAAATCATGATACTTTTTTCTTTCGTCTGTCGATTTCAGAACTGGTTCGGAACTATAGAATTTAGGACTAGTTCGGAACTATCGAAAAAGGTATGCAGCGGGGGGCAATTGACACTTCCTAGGACATCGCCATGTTAAATTCGCCAGTTGCTTGCATGCAAAAGAGATTTATCGCGAACCAGTACTGGGTCTAGACGGACTAGAAGCGCCCCAGTTCAGAACTAGAGATTTTCCCCACAGGGCAGCTACATACATACATACATACTTTGTGTTTGTTTGTGTGTCTGCTGTTGAGATTTATTTTAATGCCTTCACTAAAGCGGTCGAAAACAATGCGCTTGCCAACATCCAATAGACTAGCTTTACTAACAATGCATACTCGTACGTTGTATGGTGTAATATACATATTTACTCGTATGTAAGTATGTTCATGTGGATGTATGTATTTATGTATTTTAGTACACACACATATCGACTAAACACATACATAGTTATGTGTACATGCTTTAGTATAGTAACAAACAACCAAACGATCCTATTTGCCCTACTGACAAACTTTATATCGCTGTAAATGCGGAAGGACAAACGGCATTCAGACGCAGACAAAAGCGTGGTCTTACAATGGAAGTGCCATTGGAATTGCTAACAAAGCGCGACTATGCTGCTATGATACAATTGCCCTGTAGAGAATTAATATATGGTAGCAATCATTTGCTGAAACATTTAAAATCTTGTGTGAGGTAATTCGAAAATGTAGAAATTTAAACTGGTGAGAATAAAGCAAGTTTCATTTTTTTTTTTCAATTAATGAAGGATGTATTTATCTTAGTTCATACGTTTGTTACCTATTTTGGTGAACTAGTTTTTGGCTTAGTCAAAAATTATCTTTTAAACGCAGTTTGCATATTATAGGAAGTTAGGTCAGAGGCAAAATGGGACGGTGAGAAAAATCGTATTTCAGTATGTACATAGTACTTTCACTGCTAAATTTCACTAGCTTTGTCAGAAATGTATAGAAACTCTACAAATTTTCCGAAGCAAAACGACTTGGTTAGATAATGTAACGATGTATCAGGTGAGTGTTTCAAATTAATATTTGAGTAGATAACTCAATAACAGAAGTGAAATGCTTAAATACTACATATCGTCACATGCAATGCAAAAAGACGTAAAAACATCGGGGCCTAAGCGTGAGCGGTTAGAGGGAATACCCTGATATTCATTACATGCTTAAGACTGCATTCGAAACCTTTGGGTAAATGTCCCACCATAGCCTACCGTGTATGCGCAATCGTCTGCGCCAACGTCGGTTAAATCCAGCGATGGAAAATAATCATTATCCTTTAAATTTCAACCAAAAAAATCAGCAAGTTGTTATCGTCGTAAAACCATTTTAACTACACTCACGTGTCTGCGTTCGTAAAACCTACTGGAATTTATAAGGAAAAATGAAAAAAAAAAAACAATAATGTCTAAGCGATAGAAGTTATAGCAGCAGCACATCTCCTCATCATAACTTCAGCAGGGATCGAACCCGCATAATCGATGTGCAAAGTCAGAAGCGCTAACCACTGAGCTACCGCTTAGACATTGTTGTTTTTTTCACTTTTCCTAACAAACTAAATCGTGATACAAAGCTCAATAATACTACTAAATTTAATATTTAAATATGTGGAGTGCATATATTCTTGAAACTCGAAAAATAACAGCTGGGCTCGTAGATATCGAATTACAGAAATTTCTTTTAGGCCAGAAAAACTGAACTAAATAAAGCTAAATACGCTTTCTTTGATTCACTGACTAACGCTAAGGGTATCGCCGGCGGTCTTAATTTATTTGCTGAATGTTCACTATTTCATTTCCTAAGATGATTGCGTTGCTTAGCAATAGCGTTCGCTCGTTACTTCAGCGCAATTGAGGCTAGATATTGAATGTGCCTGCCACAACTGATGCCGCTGTTGCTGCTTCACTGCCATTTATATGTAGCTAGTTTTCAGCAATAAGAGGCACAAATTCGGCTTGAGAAAAAAATTCTAACTAGTTAGTGAAATTGTTTTTCACATAAATAATTAAAAAATTTACCATGCACATATGTATATACATGTAAGTACATGGGTAGGAATCATCAGTTAGATTTGTATGACATTTCCAAGAGAAAAGTAAATGGAGGCTGCACTGCTTATAATCAATATCTTTTTAAATATTTTAAAATACACAAAGGAACAACAGAAAATTTCATAGTTTTTTAGATAATAAATACTTTAAACCCCTGTTGAGTTTAAAGAATTAAAATTTACCACGTCAATTTCGCGTTTTGAAATTATGCATTGTGTAGGCAGCACACAAACACAAACAAGCTCGGTTGATGGTTCTCCAATTTCTCATTAAAAACCATATAACAAATATTTGGAAGTCTTTAGGCAAGATGCTTTTCCGTTAACCCACTTGGCAAACTTGTATAAATATTTCAGCAAATTTACATACTTGTGTAGATATGTATGTTTGTGTGTATATGTACATATTTCTACCAAAGAATACGTATATATGTATGTTTATTAGGGTGGTAAAAAAAAAACTAAAGTCAGAATCTTAATTCTTTTTTTATTTTGAAATTAAAAAAATATTTAGAGATCGCTCAAAGCCCTCAAACTTTTCCATGCATTTTATATTTGAAAAAAAAAAAAAAACAATTTTTCGTAGAAATGGTATAAGGTCCTTGAAAATCAATATTTTCGATCTGGAAAACTGCCAGTAACAATACCCAATTGTTTTGGCGGACCTATAACATATAGTTACTAAGTATGTATGAAAAAAGTTTAAATAAACAATTGGGTGATATTATTGAAAATATCGTGAAGAGAAACACAGATTTCTAAGCAAAAAAGTTGTTTTTCCCATATATAAATTACCTAGAAAACTTTAAGCACTTTGAGCGTCCTATTTATATATATTTTTCGATTTCAAAATAAAAATAGATGTACCTATATTTTCTCAGTATAGAATAATACTAGGGGATGAGAGCATGAAAATCCGACTTTACTATTTCCAACATACATTTTTGGACCACCCTAATACACATACAAATTTTCATATTTCATAGAACTTTTCAGGCACGAGCGCAATGTAAGCGCAGCGATTTTTTTTTTACAGTCATGTGCATATGTGTATGCGCGTGATTGGATTTGCTTGACATCAGCCTTTCATGTACATACATATGTGTCTGACTATTGTATAAGCTATACAAATTATATTAATTAAATTCCAGTCTAAAATCTAAAATTATATCCGGCGGCACAAAGGCACGATTGTCTGAATATTTCATGCTGTCTGCTTATTCGCCTACATAAATGCTAAACGCACATACACATAAATATTATTAATAAATATATTTATATACATACACACATCACCACAACATCTGCTTTTAGGCGCATTATGCCACATATCCGGCTTTAGCTTGCCTTGGTAAATAACTATGTATGTCACAGCGGATTTA